GAACTGAAAATGCGTGGGAATATATTTTTTGCGTGCCGCTTAAAAATCGTAGCTATAGCAAAACCCCTGAAACGGAAAGACGGATCGACGGATAGACGGATCGACGGATAGAGGAATCGTAAACCAGCGGAGAGGAAAAAACTAATCGCACAAATATAAATATGACAATAAAAAAGTGCTTAGTGGCTGGAGCGGACCGTTTTGCCGATTCGGGCAACGGTAATAAATTATCGAGAAACACGAAATGCCCGCTCCACCGACCCAGTTGTGGTCTATTAAAAACACAAACAATTTTCAAAAATTTGCCCCAGAGATTAGCATCGAGAGCCGAAAAACGAAATTGGCCTTTGCGGCGGAGGAGGGGAGCTGGGCCGGGGGGAGGGGGAAGTTGGGAGTTGGCATGAAACAGGTTCTCACGCCGACCAGCCTCAAAGGGAGTACGGGCAGGACCACCTCATCTGCAGGAAGCGTAGCTGAAATTTCAGCTCTAGAGCCCCAGCCACAGCCACAGCTCCTTTCTACCTGTTTCGTACTCCCTGAGAAGCCAGCCTCTTGCTTCCAGTTCTGGGCTGCTTGCTGTGCGAGCAACAAGTGAATGACAGGATAATCGTCCTGTGTACCTGTTCGGTTTTGTTCAGGTTCCCCTTTGTTTCGCTTTTTTCCACCAATTTTTTGGCATGTGAACAGACTCGCATAAAATCTCTTAATGTTTGCATTCTTATGCGGCTGTCGTCTCGTTTGATGCGTGATCTTGTTGATTATGCTGATGCCTGGTCGGGTCGGGTCGGTTCTGTTCGGTTCGGTTCGTGTCTGCTTTGCCCTTCCCTGCGATCGCATGGAATCGGAATTGAGATCGAGCGTTGCTCTGTCGCTGTCGCTGTCTCTGTCCCGTTCTCAGGGCCCTCGCTGGCAGGTTCAATCGTCCATTCAGGTCCGTACATGTCCATGGACATGTAGTTTTTGTGTTCCACTTGCGAGTGTGAAATTTCTGCTTGTTTGGCATTCATGGAAATGGCCTATGCCTCGGAATTTGTGGGAACAAGTGCAGCAGCAGCATCAGCAACGGCAGCAGCAGAGGCAGCATCGACCACATTACGTGCTCGTTTTTTCGGCAAAGAAAGAACACCCGCAGGCGGGAGCGTGTGAAATTCAAGTTTTTGGGAACGATTCTTGCCTTTTTTGCAAATTCTGTATTCAGTATTCAGTGTATGCGGAGTCTGTTGGTGGGAAAGACCTAAATGTTCACAATTTACGAGAGGATGTAGGACGTAGGGCCTAAAACGGTTTCATTATAAGCAGGAATAGTTCTGAGGACAACAGTTTTCTATGAATTGTTCGTCATGGATGCTCAGTGCTTGAATTAGTTCTAAAATAAACGAAAATATTAAAAATTCCACATAAATATTACCAAATATACATATGTATGTATGTATACATATCACACACTACGTGGCAAGGCCCCTACCAACCCCCGTCTCCCTTCCTTAATCAACAACCCGATCATCAAAAACATTTTTTTAAAACAGAGAGAGATATGTACATACATATATAAATACTATACATCCATATATATATTTTATTGTATATAATATTACTAAAATGTGAGTATTTATTTAATTCCAAAATGTCATTCATTAGAAAATTTTCCTAATTAGTGGAAATTAAAGAAATAAAGTTAAAAAAAAATTCCGTAGTTCAAGGAACAACTTTGTCTTGACAGATCTCCAGGTATAGCCATTGTATGGACACATATTTATATTTTGAACCCATCAATTTCTTACATATAACCACTGTAGATGTCGATTAAAAATTATGAAACAAAAAAAGGTATTTGGCATCTACACCACTAGGCCGCCAACCTAATTTCGATCACATGCAAAGTGCTTGCCGAATTCTTCACTTTGTCGCAATGTGTGATTTGTAGAAGAGAGTCCAGCAGCCTTCCTTCAGTTCTGAAGCCTCGCCGCAGCTCCGATCACGTTCCATTTAATTAAAATTCCAGCAACCTGCTCTCCAGTGCCGGCCCCAAAGCCGACCCGCTGCTATTGTCGCCGCTGATGCTGATGCTGCCGCTGATGCTGCCCCTGATGGTGATGTGTGTTTATGTGCCCTAAAGTGCTGTCACCTCAGTCCCGCACGCATCTTGATTTATGCGCTGGCAGCGAGAAAATTAAATAATAAAAATGAAAAACTGTAACAAAATGCTGAAGCCTTGCATCGGATTCGGAGCTCACCGGCCGCCGCGCATGCGCAATAAATTCGGTTTTTATGACACCTGACAAAATACGCAGCAGCAACTGCGGCACCAACAGCAGCAGCAGCAGCAGCAGCAGGAGAAGGGGAAGGGGAAGAGGAAGGAGCTGGAGTTGCATATGGAGTTACAGCCTGGAGATGGAGATGGAAGCGGTTGCTTCAGTGGAAAATTGTTTAATGACTAATGGCAGAGACGGCAGAGGCTGCTGCGGATACCGCGGATGCCGCCGAGCTTCGTTTATTGCCCTGTGTCTATTGAAGATTAATTTCATTTACACAACTTCATCGCCTCGACGCGGTCTTCGCAGGCGCAGACGCAGGCCGAGGCCCAGGCCTGGCTTAACACTTTGTTGTCCGCCTGGTTGCGTTTTGGAGTTAATAAAGTCATAAATTGTGTTACCCTGGGCCGCTTCCAGCTCTAATGCGCCACGCAGCAGTTGGAGGAGCCGCAGCCCAAAGCCTGTAGCGTCTGTAGCGTCTGTAGCGGCACCAATCGTTACGTGTCCATGTGTTTTTATTGCTTCTTTTGTGAGTGCCCACTGGTGTCGGCTCCGAGCGGCGGACGAGAGGTGGCAGCATCTGTTGCGGATTAGAAACGGAGCTGTGCTGCCAGCTATGGGGCAAGAGGAACTAAATTGATTTTATATACCCGACAATTTACAATTCATCAGCTTATGATCTATCTGTTCTGAGAAATCACCCATCTACGGAGGAGATGCTTACTTGTGTACAAATATTGAACAGACCGGGAAACCTAACCCTACTATTTTTTGCACTCTCATTTGCATTGAATGCTCCGAAAAATTCTCATTGAAGTAAAGCCTTTAAATACATCTTTCAGAACTCAAACCCAGACACCAAGGTATGTATTATCTTCTGCAAGGTTACAATAGTCCGGAACACCGGGAAAGAAGTCTAAATTATTACACATCTGAAGACTATACAATTTTTCCTGAATTTTCGTATCCCTCGTATTGTTTACACAGTCTCGAAATATTAGGGAATCAGAATTGTAGGCCACTATCACATGGACGGGACACGTGTAAACTGAAGCTCCCCAGGAGCCTGGCCTTCGACAATTGAGGTTACTCAAATGGTTAGACAAATAAAATAACATGTACATACGAGTATGCAAATACACGCCCGTAAGAGCGATTCAAGACGGCACTATGGGCTCCATCATCTGATGGGTTCCTTATCGGCAGGCAAACACGCGCAGCTCCAATCAATTCCGATTTCCCGGGTCCCCGGGTCCCCGATTCACCGGGCTGGTAAACAACGTCCGGGCTGGTCGGGGCTCAATTGGTGGCCGGGCGGTGTATTGGCACAGCTGCTACCTCAATGAAGAAGAGCCCTGGCTCGTCTTTTTTAATACAATGATGACGGGACACATATCCGTATAGAGAATAGCATGGCAGAACCGATCCCAACCGAACAGAACGGAACGTTATGCAAAAAAGGTGCAACACAATCTTCCTCGAGAGCCTCAGACGCACAAAAGCAACTCTTTGTGTGTTCCTGCTATACAAATATGATAATATTATAATATAGGAACCCTAACGGATAGCTGTCGAGTGTGTCGGGTGGCGTTGTATGTGCTGGAATTCGCCTTCCTGCCAGGGCCGCCTGGGCTGCCAGGTTCCTCTGCCCTCTGTTCAAATACACCTTGCATACGTGGCAAGTCGCCTTCTGCCTCCTTCCTGCTGGAAAACCGATCTACACTCAAGTGGCAGCGGCAACTTTGGGGTGGTTTTTTCCTGGACTGTGTGTCGGGAGCGATGGGGGAGAACTTTTCCTGCCACCAGAGTACCTGTCAAGTTTACGCCTGACAGCGCACTCGCTCGATATTTTCCTGCAGCCGGCAGCTGTTCGTCGAGTCCTTGAAAAAGGGATATATGCCTGAGTTAATGTTGCAACATGTAACCTGTAGGGAGGGTGCTAGACTAGGGATCGGGATAGGGGTGGTTGGACAGCTTTGCGGCCTCCGACAGGTGGTGCCCCTGCCGATGGAACCCACTTGAAATTTGTTTAAGCATTAGGCACTTATCTAACAGGTTTTTTGTCTTTGAAGAGGTACAGTTTTGTGGATATCGAAGATATAGGGGGCTCCTACACTAAACTCAAGCCTTATTCTACAAGATTAGATTAGGATCCATATCGTACACGTATAAGATCAAATGTGAACCCGAAAATAGGTGTTCTGGGCAATCCATACATAGAATATTCAAATATTCCAAGCCCCAATGCATTTTTAATCACTCCAGCTCCAGCTCAAACTCCAACTCCAACCCATTCGAAAGGCCAGTGCCCACAATTACATGGTAATGAATGCTACGACAAAGAGTTCCTAGCACGATCCTCCGGCATGTCTCGGCCTGGTACGTGAGCGGGCAGAGCTGGCGCACGGCTTCAATTGAAGTTCGATGAGATGTGTCGCCCTCGTGCGCTTTGATTTTATTGCCAGTACTTAGCATAATGAGTCGAGCCGATAGCATCACGTTTCCTATCCGAAACCAAAGACCGCGCTCGCACTGCGGCGCATGCGCAATGCCCAATGCGCATATGCTTCCTGTCTCGCCGGAAATTCCTTTGAGTACTCCGCTTTGTCGTCGCGACAGAGCGTCAGAGCAGCACACACAAGTTCAAAGTGCATGTGGTGCATGGGTTTCCCTCGATCGGGGATGGGATCCATTGAAATGCCAAGTGCTGGCGGACAAAGGACTCAGCACACCACCTGTTTCCTTGGGCTTTGGTTGAGATTTATTGAAAGAGGAAGTTCATTGAACCCAAAATGGCTGCAATTGAGTTGGGGTTCAGAATCCGCCCTAGTACTCGTAACTGGAATTGGCGACGATGAGCAACCTCGTCTGGGCATAGCGCTTGTCGTCTTTCAGGAACCGAATCACATCGGCCACGCAGATGTACTTCCAACGCTTAGCTGCTGGCCGCAGGGGCTGGGCCAGGGGCTGAGGCAGGGATCGCGGTTTCACTGCCACACTAGCGAGTGTCGAGTGTGCCTGGGGTGGGCCCTGGCGCATCCGCAGTCCGATGGCATCCAGGGCCGTGTTGTTGGTCGTCGTCAGGCGCCTGGCTAGGCCCAGTCCGAAGTTCGTGGAGGGTACCACACGTTTGATCTGGTCGTCGTCATCCGACAGGCAATGCTCCTGCCGATCCCTCTCGTCGAGGCGTTCCATCTTGGCCTTCATATCGTAAACCAACTCGTAGCGAGTATCCTCGTGGAGATGATAGGCAGAGCGGTGCTCGCACCGCTCTATGATCTCCTTCAAGGCGGTCTTCATGTATATCTTCAAGGCCTTCAGAAAGGTGTCCAGTAGACCCTTGCTGTCCTCGAAGCTGAATCTCTGTCCCGGCTCTCCCCGCAGGGCCATGTGTTTCATCAGTTTGGTCAGAATGCAGTTTCGTCGGAAGTACGCCTTAAGTTTGGGGTTCCCCTTCAGAGGTCCCGGTTTGCCTGGAGGAACTTTGTCGGGTCCCGCCGACATGCTCCAGAATCTAGAAATAAATTTGTTTAGTGTGCGGAACATCTCAAAGTTTTCTCATTTGCTTTGTTTTACTTATCAAAAACGCTTTCAGGAACCAATAACAAGAATCTTCAAGCTTCGAATCTGCAAAGAGAAAGGTGTCTTTAAGTTCTTCAGAACTATCCATCCGTCCAGGTGCTAGTTCTTGGCACGAGCCTGCTGCACCAGCGCCGGAAGAGGAGACATATGCCAGCATGATCCTTACCGGTCGAGTGCGTCCACCCCCTGACCGACCGCACATCTTCATACGGCCCACTGCCCTGACCTAGCACTTGTTCCTCTCCAGTGGCCACCCAGCCGAACCTGCCACACCCGGCAGACGGGCAACAGGAGAAGGACACGTTATGCAAAGTGCACAGGAATGCAAGTGAGCCTGGCCACCGGCCAGTCTCTGGCACGAGCAACTAATTATTCAAATGGAAAGAAAGGCTGTCTGATGGAATGCCCAGCCCTAGGATAACCACCCAGACACCGACCGGGGGTGAGCGGATATTAAACAGCGGCGCGCGACTGTCGCCCGTCGCCCGTCGCCCAACGCCTGTCTGTCCCGCACATTTCCGTGCACCACTGAACTCCGACTTCTGGCCCGACAGATCATGCCCAGCCTAGCATATCGTGGCCAAGACAGCCTCGGCCCTGGGCCCATGAGGATGAGGGTGCTTGGGCGCATACTAAATACACCACGCGCAGGCCAGGAGCAGAAGCCGCAGCCGCAGCCGAAGCAGGCAGGCGCGTGTTGTTTTGACGTGTTTGTAACCTGGCTAGAAATTTATTAGAAATTCTAGTCAAGGTGCTCGGCGACGGCTTTGGCTTTGTCTTTGTCTTTGTCTCCGACTATGTCGTGTCTGAGGAACGGAACCCTTGCTCCCGAACAGGTTCATTACGCGTGCCGGCGACAGTCGACAGTCGACGGAGGCGTTGACCTAATTACCTGTTTATTTTTTAGTTTGTTAATTCCTCAACTTACCCTACGCCTGCCTGCCCATAGGGGTGCCGCCTGCTGCTGCTGCTGCGGGTGTGTGTCCCTCGGGCACTTAGTTTGCCACAGATGCAAGGTGCAAGCTGCCAGGCCACAAAAATTCGAACTCTGTTCTAATAGTGAAACTTCAGACGGCACATCAATTGTGGTGTCACTTTGTCAATCGATATAAAACACTGATATATCGGCTACGGGGCATGTGCACTTTAATATCGAATAAATTATAGTTCAAGCTTTGAAAAACGTGCCCATAGATGCTTATAAAAATTACTTCAAGCTTTAAAAATATGTCCATATATGCCCTAAAAGGATAGATGTTTTCTATAATGTTTTTCATTCAAGAACAGCGAACTGTGATCGCTTTGCAACACTGGCAGGTAATCTACACTATTATTGTGCGTTCTTTCAGCTGGGAAATGGGATCTGGGGGTCTTAGAAGGAATTGTACTCCCACAACTGTGTGATGCTCCGCCATGAATGTGCAGATGCGCTTCCCTGGTGGCACTCGCATCGTGTAATATGCCACCCAACAGTTAAAAATGCAGATTTCACCCATTCCAGCCGCACTTGCATAATCCACACATGGAGGCGAAGGCAGCGGCCCAGCTCCATCGGGCTCCCCACTCCGCCTGCCATTTCCATTTCCATTTGCAAGGAGCAGAGCCAGCCGGAGTCGGCCAGAGTCGGCCGCATAAACTAAGCTAACAATTCAACTAAAATGCCAACCAGATAATAAAACTCAAATCGATGAAGAAGTGGAAGCATTGGCCTTTGTGATCGACTGAGTGCGCAGTTTGTGGAAAGATGGAAAATGGAAATAAAACTGCGAACACGAAACTGACTGCCGGCCGGGCCGACAGCCGGAGCGCAGGGGCAAGAGCCACAGTCGGCACAGGCTGGCAGGCAGGCAGGCCATTCAAACGACCACCCACACATCTGGGCCAGAGACAGAGACAGGGCCAGAGCCAGAGCATCCTCGCCGCCTGCGCAGTGTCAAATAGACAAGAAAACCAACAGCGGACCAACAGGCAAACGGAGTGGCTGCGTGGAGCGCAGGCGTGTAAGGGACATCCAACGGACGGGACGGGACGGGGCGGGACAGGACGGATGCGGTGAGTCGGTGAGATGGAGGCATATTCCAGCGAATAAATATTATCATATGGAAATTTCCTTTCGGAGCAATTACGAATGCTGCCACAGCCAGGCGCAGCCCAGCGTTTTGTGGCAAGTGACCTGCGAGACGTCAAATGCAGCGCACAGGAAATCGAAGTCGCAACTCGACGGGTTTGACGATGATGTAGCACCACCAGCACCGGCACGGCACCAGCTCTCCTCCCAACCAGCCATTCATAGAGATCACAGCGTGTCGTAGCAGTCGTAGAAAGTTGTGGCACCGTGGAAACACAGCCCAAGGAGAGCCGCACAGCCCCTTCTCACATCTCAGGCGGTGTGTTCGTCGAAGGCAGTCACTACTGTATCGTATGCTGGCCAACAAGCTGTCGTTTGCTCTGCGTACCTGTTGGAGCTGCGTTTTCGGGGAGCAGCAAATGAAATTGCCAATTGTTGCGCTTCGGTGGCGGTGCCAGTTCCAGTGCCAGTGGCAGGCTACTGTTTGGCTTTTCGTTTTGTTGTTGCTGCCACACCACACACCTTGCAGCTGGAACGGAAGCGAGGCATCTTAGAGATCTGCGAGGCTCTGGTTGTTATTGTGTGTTGCCACTTTCAGCGCTGGCCTGCCTTTTTAAGCCATTTTAATATGAGCGTTGCACATCTTGTGGGTGTGGCTGATTGGGCAAGCCGGGGCAGAGCCAAGCGAAAAAAATGGATGAGAAGAGTCTCCGTCTGAGCCGGGCCGGGCCCGACCCGGCCCGATGATCAATCTTGGCCATGGCAACGTTTTACGATGATGATGATGACGGCGACGACGACGACGTGGACCGGTGATGGCTCTGATTGCAGCAGCCTCGCAGCCATTTGCCAGTTGCTACTGGTTTTCTCCGAAGCCGCACTTAAGTGGGCGTGGGCATTTGAAAATGTTAGCCCGATGCCGATCCGCAGGAAGCGATCTGTTTGGCCTATGGAAATGGCTAACAGCCAGCGAAATGTTTCAATTATTAGTATTTTAGACAGCAATTAATACGAAGAGTCAAAGGCATGAGGAGGAACACCTGCATGGTCTCCTTTTGCGCCAGAAACAATCCACAGACAGGCGGAAGTAGGTTGACACTCTTTCAAATGAGACACCTACACCTCACCTACACCTACAAGCCTGATTGTTGTTCTCACTCCTAATTTATTTGTACAGCATTCCGTTTCCGTTCCCAGAACTACCGCAGATTGGCATTGTTCCAAGGGTCACAGGATTGAACCCTGTCTCGTCTAGCGCTCGAAGAATAACAAGTGTGGAAAACAGGTTCAGTCGTTGCCCAACACTGGAAGGCACATCGGAGAATATGCAAAATCATCAACATTTACTAAATAAATAAAGGCAGAGTCGATGCAAAGTGCAGCCAGAAGCCAGCAGCCTGCATATGCAAATTGCTTGTGGGAAGAAGAATAAGTGAGTGGAGCCGAGAGCCGAGAGCCAAATTGGAGCGCTGCCGGAGGATTCTCCCACAGCCCACTGGACTACTTTCAACTACATCGAGCGATGACAATAATGTTGTCTGCGCTTCTTTGTTGGCTGCCTGGCTGGTCATGGCCATGGCATTGGCCATTGTCATTGTCACCAAGGAGCAGCCATGGCCATAACAATTTTCCTGCCTTCTGGCCAAAGCCAGAGCCAAAGCCAGGGGCTGGCCGGGGCTCCCGCTGCGCGAGCATTGTTTGCCCGCTGAGCAGATTTCCCAGAACTGACACCTTGCCACTTGGTCTGTTCGGTCTCTTCGGTCTCTACGGCGTGGAAGGGGCATGGGCATAAGCATGGGCATGGACATGGACCATGTGTGTGGTGTCTGAGTATTGCTACAGTTTTGTCCGCGCCAAGATGTCTGGGCAGACCGGGCCTGGTTCCGTTTGTGGCACAATCCCACAGCACATTCATCATTGAAACAATTGCTCATCCGTGTGCCCATCGGTGTGTGTGTGTATCTGTGCTCCAGGTGTTGCTATGGAATTTCAATTTGCATAAATTTGGTGCAGATTTGCGTACAATAGAGCAGCGAATGCACCCATGATTATCGAGGGAATGCTCTTCTTTAATGAAGATGTTGCCAGACAAGACAATGTCCGTTTGCAGCTCAAAACAATCTGCGAATACTCACTTGTACGTACATCATTCCAGAGAGCAGCTGTGCCAGCACACCTGATCCTAGCGTGCCTCAGGAGGCGGACTCGGGCGGACGCTAATGCGCCACCTACTGCTACCGGCATACAAAGGAGGACAAAGGAGGGGTTCCATTAGAAAGCAGAAACTGCGCAGAATCCACGGGAGGAAGGCACTCGCACTGGATGCTCAAAGGACAAAGGACGAGGGCCCGAAACAATGCTAAACCAAATTGAATGGCTTTCTAACGATGTTGTCAAGCCAGAGGCTACCCATTAGACATGCCTGCCTGCTGTCTGCCGTCTGCTGTCTGCTACCCACAGCTCAGACACGACCGACCGTATCTATCTATATCTGGCCACATCTTATCGTTTAGCACCTGCCCAACATCAACATCTTGCCCAATCAAATATGTACGAGTTTGAGCGAGCAAATAACCCATTCTCATACCCATTTTGTGGTAAATGTGCTCATGTCATCGAAAATCACGATCACCTCAGAAACTGTTGGTACGATCGCTGTGTATCTCCGCAAACACGATGGGAATTCAGGTGCCAAGCGGCCAGCGTGCGTGTCCAAACGACACTTAATTTATCTAACGCTTGGTTTTCCCTGCGGTCGGACTGGAGCTAATATTTGTTCAGTCCGCAAGTGTTTGCCGGAGTCTATTTGTGGCAACTGCTTCACAAGTGTCTGGTCTGTCTGACGGGGAAATTGGGCCAGATAAGACAGTTTGCGGTTGATAATTTTGGGTTATCCTTTCACTAATGCCATCCCAGACGAAGGTGGATTGCACATGGCCAGCAGATCTACTAAAATGTGGCATGAAGTCCAAGGAGAGAGTACTACAGATCATTCCCATCCCAAGCCAGCACATGCCAATACCTGAGGCCAGACCTGAGGACAGACATCGGGATAAGAATGATCTCTTCATTGGCAAAAAATTAAATCCCAGCTCTGGGCCTACAGCCCCTACATCCACAAGGACAGGTGAGGAACATCTTTCTTGTTGTTTTTCGAGTCATTGTTCACAACAGCAGCAGCATCCCCGGCAGAAGTCAGGCGAAAACGAACCTGTCCTGTGCCTAGGATAACGGATGCCCATCTCTGTTCGATCTATTATTCGCAAAAAAAAGAGGGCCTTGTTTGGGCGATGAAAAGAAACCCAAACAAAAGCGGGCTCACAGACAGCTGACAAATCCGAGGAGATCTCCGACCTCCGACCTCCGATCTCCGACCTCCGATCTCCTATCACCGATCCTTGGTGGAACACAGGCCAGCTGCCCGAGGGGGGATCAGGATTTTGGCAAGGTGCTCTGCTCGACCGGGTCTTGATTACATCATCGACTCCTCTAGGTGGTCCCCTTGGTTAGAAAATGTCAGCATAAATCTGGATTACAGATAGTTTGTCATAATTTTGGTGGAGAGACTCTCGGGAGACCTTTTTAATTGATTGGGAGCGGAAGTGGCATCCATTTCGACTGGCTTATACCTATTATTAATTGCCATAAATCTTGGATCAATAATAGGAATCATAATAATAAGGTCGGTCGGCGTCCGCGACTCGGTTCAAGCTGCAAAGTTTCCAAGACATTTAACCTGTCATTAGGCCAGCGATACAGTGGGTCGAGAGTGCTGGAAATGGGGTATACTCCATTGTAGTGGATTCTGGTAGATCTATTCCGGGCCAGAGATGGATACCAGCGATTCCCACTGTGCCTGTGGCTTTGATTTCGAGCCGTAAACTCTTCCCTGATCATGACCGATCCCCGATCCCCGATCTGCTTTCGTCAAATTATATAATGATGCCAACAGCGGCCAGCCTACTCGACCAGGGCC